CTCCTCCCCCGCTGCTGCTGCTGCTGCTGCTGCTGCTGCTGCTGCTGCTGCTGCTGCCCCTGAGGGGAGTTCTCCAAGCTGAGCTTGTCCATAAGGGCGCGCAGCTGTTCTTCTGCTGCATCTGCTGGCTCTGCCTCCGCAGCTGCTGCAGTTGCTGCTGCTGCGTCATTGCCACGCTGCTGCTGCTGCTGCTGCTGCAGTCCCTCGCTGGCCCACAGCATAACAGCAGCAACAGCAGCAGACCCTGCAGAACACCAAGCAGCAACCTCCCTGGGGCCCCCGCTGCTGCTGCTGCTGCTGCTGCTGCTGTAAACGCGCCCCTTCTTCAGCAGCAGCCGCGTCAGCAGCTGCGAAGCAATCGACAACGAAGACACCCCTGCAGCAAGCCGCTGCTGCTGCTGCTTCTGCTGCTGGCCATCTTGCTGCAGCAGCAGCTGCTGCTGCAGCAGCATGCGCCGCTGGTGCAGCAAATCCGTCAATATAACGCCTAGTGCTTCTAGGCTTTCTGCTGCAGGCAGCCCCTTGGGGCCCTTTTGCTGCAGCAGCAGCAGACACAAACCCTCTGCTCTTTCCTTTTGCTTCAGCAGCTCTTGCTGCTGCTGCTGCTGCTGCTGCGGCTGCTGCTGCAGAGAGTCAAGGCGGCGGGCGATGGACCCCAGAATTTGAGGCAGAATCCGCTGCAGCAGCAGCAGTAACCGGCCCTCTTCGCTGTTGTGCTGCAGCAGCTGCTGCTGTTGCTGCTGCTGCTGCTGCTGCTGCTGTTTCAGCGCCCTTACCAGGGCCGTCGTAAGAGACCCCAAGCTTGCTGTTGCTGCTGCTGCTGCTGCTGCATCTTCTTGCTGCAACTGCTCACAGACGCGGGAGACAAACCGCAGCAGCAGCCGCCGTGCTGCTGCCTGCACAGGCACTTTCGGCGCTGCTGCTGCAGCACGCAGCAGCACCTCGAAGCAACCACGCGACAGAATTACGTTGCTGCTGCTGCTGCTGCTGCTGTTGTCGGCGGCTGGGGGAGCAAGGCCCCCACAAATGCGCAGCGCCTGCAGCAGAGACAGCGAGGCCCTCTCGGG